GGAAGCGGAAACAGCAAGAGGAACCGGAGCCATCGGAGGAAGAGCAACAGCAGCAGTTGCAGCCTGTCGACCCGCTCGCGGGGCAGTCAATGGTAGATGAATGGATTGAACCGGAGTCGCCGAGCCCTGAGGTGCCTCAGCTTAGCACCTCTCAACAGGCATTGCAGCCTCCTGCTGCTCCAGCACCACCAGGTCCCTCGAGATCCGAGTCTATCCCCATGCAGGCGATTCCTGGATTGGCGCCTGGTGCTTCTGACGCATCCCGTCTTTTACAGGCTTCGAGGGATGAAGATGCTGCAGCTTCTGCAGCAGGGGCTGCAGCAGCAAGCGCAGCAACAGCCTTGCCAAGTGCTGAGACGTCATCTGCTGCATCGGCGACATCCGTAGAAGCCACCCACGTGGGAACGCCGACAATGAATAGTTTAACCCGTCCAGGACTTGCAGGTATAAGTCCAGCAGCACCTGCTAGAGGTGCAAGAGCAGCTGGTAGAAGACGAGCAGCAGCTGGTGGAAGGGCAGAAGCAGCTGCTGGAGCAGCTGCTGGGACAGGAGCAGCAGTTGATGCAGCTGGAGCAGGTTCCGCCACACCCGCTTCGGCAGTCCATAAACTGCTAGGGGTGCCTATTATCCCAATCGAAGCTATGCTGGAACACCCGTTCGTGCGCCTGCCGAAGGCAAAGCTCCAGATGTGTCCGAGTCCGATTTCAGTTGACTTGAGGCGTGCCATTACCTCTCCGATTGCCATGAGGTTTGGGGTGCTGCTTCTGCAAAAAGCCCATGAGCTGCTGTCACGGGAAGTCTTGGTTCCCGATCAGATAAAGGAGTTGGCGGGAGTATTAACAGAGATGATAAAGCATGCGGTTCACTATGAAGGCCAGGACCTCTCGCAACACCCGACCAACCGTGCAGTTGTGCGGCTGGGGATGCGTTTCCTTCTTCTGGAAGCGGTGTTGTCTGCCTTCTTAGTACTCGAACAGACGCCAGAAGAAGAACCTTGGGGTCTCCTAGCAGATGCCATTAGTCATGCCGCACCGGATCCTGGAAGTAGGGGAAACTTCACACAGCGAACGACTTTCCTCTTAACTCTATGTCATGAGCTCCGCAGGGCAATGCAAATACTCAAGACGGGAAGAAGGCCAGAGCCTGAAGACCTCATGAAGGTCAAATGGATGCTCTTCTGCTCGCCCTTCTCCCCTGCACGTTTCAGAGGGCCGGACTTTGA